AAACAAAGTTTGATTTGTACTAAACTTGACCCGGTTGTTCTACTCCTGGGCCTGGGTCACCTAAAGGTGTAAAATATTACATATGCTCTTTAGCGCCCCCTAAATACCGAGCTAAAGCTTTACATGGGGAGCCAAACCAACGGATCAATATCACAAATATTGGCCTATGGCTACGGAAGCAAATCATGGCGCGGCGGCGGCGCCACCTGCGGAGCGGCGAGTCACGCAGGGAGTCACGGGAAGGGGAATCGCGAGTTGCGCGGTATGGGGAATCGTAGCTGTGCCGGGAGTCGTAGCTGTGCTGGGAGTCGTAGCGGAGCGGAGAGTCGTAGAAGCGCACGGGGCAGGGAGTTGTAGCAGAGCGGGCAGTCGTAGCGGCGCGCGGTGCGGGGAGTCGTAGCGGTGCGCAGTGCTGGGAGTCGCAGCGGAGCGTGGTGCAGGAAATTGTAGCTGAGCGGGGTGTCGCAGCGGAGCGGGGAGTCGTAGCGGAGCGGGGAGTCGTAGCGGAGCGGGGAGTCGTAGCGGAGCGGGAAGGCGCGCGGTGCGGCGAGGGCCGTTCGACGCCGCTTGCGGCTTTAATTATATATATTTTTATTAGAACAAAAATATATAAGGTCTTCAAAGATGGATTTTTGTTCTATCCTGATGACTATATTTGGACAATATTATTTCCATCCAACAAAAGTGTACATTTCTTGTTTTGATAGATTTACGACTTAATTTGTAGTGCTATAAACTATTAATAATTAATATCTTCAAAATCATGTTTAAAGCTCACCTGGATTCAAGGTATTTCTGACCCTTGAAAGCCTTTTTCAAACACATTTTATAAATCTATCAAGAAATTGTTAAATGATGCATGGAAGTTAAGATGTATTGTAAATAGCCAGAATTTCATATTTAATTTTAACCTGCAGTGAAAAACAGGCTAGATAGCTAGAACTAAAGCAAAGGACCAGACAACAACATTGACCCCTCCCTCTCGTGTGGCGAGGTTACAGAGGGCGCAGAGGTTAGAGCGGGTGAAGAACTTATATAAAACATTAAAATGACAACGCCACGTGACGGCGGGAGTCAGGGAGGGGTCGGACGGGTATATTCAAGTCAACAGGTAAAAGCGGAGGAGGAGGATGACGGCTCTAAATCTAGATCTGCAGAGACACACACTCATGGAAACCAGACAATCGCAAGAGCAAAGGAGCCGAGACAAGACAGTGACATAGACTGCGATAAATTGTCATCTTCTGAGTCTCGAGTCTAGACTCAAAGGGCTGTCAAAATGCAGCATGAGGTGAAGAGAGATACTCAGCTGAACATCTGCAACCACAGGATTCTAAAATGCGACATATCTGTGACATCAGATTGGGATTAAAAAAATAGTCATGTTGGACAGATGTCATCACTCCATGAAATTTAAATCCATTTTGTTTAGCTACATTTATATTTGACTACTACAAGAGCAGATGATCTAGGAGTCAACCAGGCCGCAGTTATTTATATATTTTTTTTCTTTTGATTAAACAAAATTTAAGATTACAACAGGTTTTTAATTCAATTCTAAATGAGGAAAAAGGCTGAGGTATTAACATATTCACACTAATCTTGAGTCTACTACTAGCTAAAAACACATTGCAAGTACTTACTCTAAGAAATAAAGTGTTGGATTTAATTGATAATGTCAAGTTAACTATTGTTGCACTTTAACAGAAAACCACAATAGATGCCGTAAGTGTTCAAGTGCCATGTTCTATATTGTGTAAATACAATGACAAATAGAATATTCAAACATTTCCCATTGGCATTGCCATCTTCTTAGAATACAACATCAATATTATAATTACCAATGTATCATGAAGCAAGGAGGAACTTCTGTCAACAAAATTATCATACTAACGGCCTAAAAAGCAGGAGAAATCCATGCTTGTCAGAGAGATAAATGTCTGTGTCAAGTAAAATTAACTTATCCAACTCCACCGATGGGACCAACCCTCCTCTGTGGTGCTCATTCTTCACACTCTCCTTCAGGGCCCATAGGCACACTGCATGTTTCCGACGGAGGCTTTTGATTGTGCCTCTACAACTTCCCTTTTCTCGCTCTCCCTCCTCCCTCCTGGTGTCTGTATTAAATCGAAGTCTGTCAACCTCCTCTCTTCAAAAGTCACCAGAGACCAAACCGGTTCACTTTGAGAGCCAGGAGTGCAATTACGCCTGTGACACTTGCTTATATAGTCACAACAACTATAGGAAACAAGAGTCAGATTGGAGACTGGGGCAATATGTACATCCAACATACTATACATCAAAGCTTTTGTGTTTATGTTGCTTTGAAGGATTCGCATTACTGAAATCGCAGGCCGCAATCCAAAAATGTGAGCAGCTTGATTTCAATGTCAAATTTACATGTTAATGCAGACAGTTTGGGTGCTGGGAGCAACCTTTAGGGCTGCTCCATATTATAACCTCACCAGACGCAGAATAAAGAGTGCTTCATGAATTTTGATTTTATGAACGCACATGACTTTTCCCACACTCCCAGAGGCTTAGAATCGTATGCCAGACTTCACCAAGCGAACTCCCCACTTGGCTCTAATCATGAATGAGTGTTCGTGGGTTTGGAAAGTTTAAACAAAAAAAGTTAAAAAAAAGTTCTTGCTTTGATTACATTGTGGTTAATCCCCAGGGCCATGTTGTCTTGTCTTGTATTGCCCTTCTAAGCAATAAATTGTGTGTCTAGTACTGTCTCAGTAATGCAGGTTATTGATTTGCTTCTGAAGTCTCATGTGACGCCACTGAAGACAATTAACTTAATTTGTTTGAATAAGGACGTGCCGAAAAGGATCCAGGGTAAAACTTTGCATGGCAACTGCTGCCTACAGAATCAATGTTGATTTAAAGAGGGTCAAGCTCTAGTGTAACTTTTAGCTTTAGCAAATTTTAACAATTTAGGTGCTAATTTTATAGGTTTAGTTCAAAAGGACTTTCTAAATCTTAAGGGGCACTATATGAATTCACTATATTTACCATATTTTATATTTGCAAAACAAATATAGAAATGGTATACAAGGGTAACAATTGAAAATGTTCTTCAATGTTTCTTATATGATTTACAGTAAAGCCAATTTTTTTTGTGATTAAATTAAATTACGTTATACAATAATTATAAGTCTAATATGCCCATATATCGTATTCTTGAGGTTAGTGGTGCCAAATGATTTTAAATAACTGTAAATGGAGTTAAGAGGATCATTTACTTCCTCATAAACAAACATTTACTCATTGATTTGGAAGAAATATCAGTTAATAATAACTCTTCTCCATACGTTGCAGTACATTTATGTTTTAGAGGAAATTAATATATCAGCCATTACTAAAATATATATAGAGAGAGTGGTATGATTAAAACTAGAAATGCAATAATGTACCAAAATTATTCAAGGATAATTTTCTGTCATCCTTCCATCCATTTTCTTCCACTTAATCCATTTCTGAGTCGGGGGGTTGGTAGTCAGAGCTGCACCCAGTACACCAGCTCCTCACTGATCCTCCTGCAGGTGGTGAGTCCATAGGAGCCTTGACATTTTCTGGCAATGATGTGAAATTATTGAAATGATTATAGATTCTCAAGTAGACTTCTTATTAGCTCTTGAAATCTGTAAAATTGCAAATGCTCATTCATGCTGGGTGTGAATTTCTCCTGGCAAATCCAATCTACTGTAGTCTAGTAGTTTTGAAATCACCATCCTCTCCATTCATTATTTAAGGGCGACCACTCGGCATACTTCATTGTAGGGGTCACTATTAAAACCAAAGTGAATTCATTAGCGTAACCACAGCGTTGGCTTCACGTTGGACCACTCTAGACCTTGTTAGTTTCAGAAGCCTTTTCCCTCAGGCGAAACTCCACACACATGCAGTCCAGATCAAACCCTCTCCACAGGCTGCGATACCCCCCTTAGTACTGCTCTGGGGTACGCTGATGATTCGGGCTGACTTGGTGGGCGGTTTAAGCCTCTCTCTGCTTGTATGTATCCATGTTTCAAATGTGGGGGTCTTCGCTGCGTATTAAAACCACCACCGTCAACAAAGTGAGCGGTTCCTCCAGGCGAAAAACACGATTTCAGGGTTTTTTTTTTGAGGGGGAGGAGAGCGTGCCGGCTGTATGCGTGCATGTTGTTTGTTTACACGGCTGAATGTAAGCAACAACAGCGAGAGGCGAGACTGTTAAAAGTGCGCTGGGTTCAATTATGGGCGCGCTGTCTGCTGAAGGAAAATCACTTTGTTTTTGAGTACAACATCTAGGTGTTTCCCCCACTTAGATCAATGGAAACTGGAAATTGACTTAATATCAACTTTGAGACATTTATGAAGTGAGCTGGGGAAGGCTACGGTACAGATTCCAACAGATATTGGATAGAAAATTGGTAAAAAACTAAGGTTTGAATCATGGCCAAATCTGAAGCCTCCTCTTGAATACGAGCGATAGAGTGAAGCTGTCAAAATAGGTGAGGAACAAAAACACTTCCTTTTGTCTTCAGAGGTGTCAAAACAAATCAGTTCAGCGATGTGTCCTTATTCGGATTCAGGAATGGTTTTACACTCAATCTAATTGTGGATAGAGCCAGGTTTACATGACAACAAACTAATTTAACCGTTGGTTTTTTTTGTTAGAAGAATAAAAAATAAAAAAAACATTGAACAGTGCAGACCTTTGCCAAGAATCAGTTTCGTGCTTTTGAAAAACAAATTTGAACATCCTTGACCTAAATCTGAGCTTTTCTGAAAATCTTTTAAAAAACTGCTTGTTGTTTTTTTTTAGTTATCTGGCAAACTGACTAACAAACCCACACACATTCTGGCTATTGATCTTGTTTGCAGTCAGTAAACGCTGCTGCTATAATGTGAGTAATGTAAAGCCTGGAGTCAGTTCTAACCTGTCCAGGACATTTCCACCCTGTCCTAGGTTCACATTTACAGCAGACACTACAGCACTGCGCTCTCACCTCTGGTTTGCTGAAGCTGGACGAGACCAGGCAGCCCGAGCCCACGTCCAGGTCCCACTGCTTCCTGCCCTGGTTCAGAGGGTCCAGAGCCGAGATCTGCCCATCCAGAGTACTGATGATCACCAGAGATCTGAGGGAAAGAATACAGTACATTTTATTACAAAAAGAGGCACTGCTTGTGAGCACCTGCTTGACTTCAAAAGGGATGTCATTGCTTTGCATTGAATGCAGCAAGATGGATTATTTATATACATGTATAAATACTGTATGCGTTTTCTGTCAATTAGTCTCTGATATTGCATTCAACATGTAAAATGAAGATTCTTTCAGCGTTTAGATCAGCTTAATAACATAATTTAAAGCAACATAACATAAAAACTAATATTTCACAATTACCACACATGCAGTTTTGACATTGCAAGCTTTCCGGGGTCTATTCTGAGTTGTTTTGAGGATATTTTTTAAGGTTCACTTCATTTTCCCTATAGGACATTTTTTCCTCTGCATTTGACCCATCCTGTAATGTCACTATGGCCTTTGTCAGGAACTGTGGTCACTGTAGTACAGCGCCCCAGGGACTCATCTCCAGATATTGACGCTAGGCTTGGTCGGGACCAGAGACCATTTTACCATTTGCACATGATTTTAAAGGCTGCAAAACCCCTCATCACACAAGTTATACAGCAAAGACATGAGTTACCATCTTAGTTGTTTGTATCTTTTAAAAAAGTTGTGCAATTTTGAAGATTTTAAATGTGAATTTTGATATTTCCTTCTCATACTGTAATATTTTTTGTTCCCTTCTCTCTCAGCCCTAATTCCAGTCCCACCCTAAAGCAAGTGCGACGATGGAGACGTACGCGAGCGCTATTCACCTTAGCTTGTGGACATTATATCATCCCTAATTGGTGAACAAACAACAGACAAGCCACTAAAAAGGTAAAATTATGAGTGTTTATCGCTGCAGATGTTCTTTTCATTTTAAGTCCCGTCTTCAATGAATGTGACCTTGAAGAGCAGCAAACAACACCTGTCCCACGACGAGTGCCGCCTGACAGCTGCTTTGAGCTGCGGGCAAAACAAAGACAAGAGACTACTTAATTATTCTCTCCGCTTTTCTAAATAAAGAGCTGGGAGTAAAACAAAAATATAGGAGCCGTTGAATCCTTTACGACAAGTACATCTATATAGAATTGGTTTTAAACAAATTGAGACTTATAGGATGTTATAGATTATCAATGGCAATATACTTGGGATCTGAGACAACAGCATGGGCAACTCATAGATGGCTAAACCAACACAAAATATATGACATACATTTCCAGTCATTTATCCTGTAATTTATAGTTAAAGACCAGATTTTAGTTGAAGAAAATTACCATTGAATTCATTACTGCATTTTAACCCTATAGGCAATAAAGTAGCAGAATTACTTATGAGATCCTCAATCCAGAATACTTTTTATACAGCGACATACGGTTCATAATCAAGATCAAAATGAATTACTTCAATATCAATATCTTCTTTTATTTCCCTCCACGAATAATTTCTTATATGGCTGAAATATTGTGAATAAGGCACTTTTTTCTTAGCTTTCATTCAATCCCTGTCTCAAAGTCTCGCAGAACAAATTACATGCTGGTTGTGCTGTGTGCAAAGTTGTTACAGTGAAAATAAACTTGAATTTGTCACTGTTGTCACATGTGGATCCATTACTTTTGTTTCCACTCCCATCTGGCAGCGCAGTTTGGATAGAGCCACAAACAGATGGTCTCGCCGACAGAGCTCACCAGGGAATCGACACCATTCTCACTAAAGAAACTCCTCATTTTGATGAACTACCAACTCTATTATTTTTGTTTTCTGTTAACAAATATGTCTCAAGACTACGCAGACTTGGGATATAAAGTCTATTGGAAATTGAGACTTAATCTAACACAACACTCTGCATTCAACCAGTCAGGAATCATAAGAAAATTTTGATTTTCTTACATTTGCCTGTCAACGTAATTCAGGGCCTGAACGTATGCTCCCACAGTCATTTATAAAATTTTGCAGTCATTTATAAAATTAGAATATTTGTTTTGTTTGTTGCATGCTGAAATTACAGAAGATGCATAAGTATATTTAGATATTTGCTTTGACCTTCAGATAATCAAATTACTGATTTTAATGACCAGCTCAGTTTTAACATACCTTTTGCACAAAGTCTAAAAGTAAAATAAAAGTTCTCCATCTAAAACTAATTGGTACAAATTCTTCGCAAGCAGCCAATAGTTGCCAACACAGCACATTCAAATGTACATACACTTCACCGTTGTATGTAAGGGCGATGAGCAGTTAAATAAATCAAGACATCCCGCCCCATTGCCGCATCGACTGTCAATCAGCCCCAACCTTGTGCAGCAGAAGCCCCCCCCCCCTTCTCTGGAGCTATTGATCTGCAACTGTCCTGCGGAGATGTGTCAACATGCCTCTTAGCTTTATTTAACCAGCGCCGGGCACACGCTGTCTCCAAGCAGCCCCAGCCCGCGTGCACGAGGCAGAGATGGCCCTTGTGTGAGTGTCCCTTGGAGGGCCTCTGGATGTGGATGATCCCTGGAGGACAACTAGAGCCAGCTGCAGCACGAGAGACGCTTGTTTGGCCCCTTAGATCCGTCCATCATCTCTTGTCATGACAGCTACAGGCACAAGCGTGTCCTCCGCTCACCCCACCGTGGCTTTACTATAGGTCCCTCTACTGCCGCACCACTGGGATTTTCATTGGGTCCAATAACAGTGACGGACAGAAAGCACAGCTCTGCATCTACTAGTATTGTTTCTCGAGGTCATGGGGCACAGACTTTGTGAATTCGTATTTACACATAATATTGGAAGTTTTCGTTGCTAATTGGACATCATGTGAACTCTTGTACGAGTGTCTGGAGTGTAGCAACAAACGGGTTTAGTTTTTTAACTCTTATAGTGAAACAAAATTTCAAATGGAATAGAATTTGAAAACTGTATTGTATGGATTTTAAGTGCTTTAATGGAAAGAAAGATTTTACTCGACTCGGATAAAAAGATAAAATAAATCTGTGTAAACCGACAGCCAATGGGCAATAATATCCTATATAAACCTCCTATAACTAAACTTTATCCTCAAATGTTGTATATTTACAAGAACCCAGTCAAATTATTGATTAAAGTATCAGATAAGAAAACATGTAGGGACTGAAGCTATGAGCGAGCCCAGCAGACCAGCAGGTGAAGCCCTATTGAACAACTAAACCTTATTGATCTCACCTATTGACGAGGAGTGACTGATGAAGCACTGCAGCATGTACACGGATGTTAAAGTCTTAAAACTGACTACAGCTTGTTTCAAAGCCTGGATCAATACGCAAACCCTTTTTTTCCTACTATTCTAACATTTGGAAGAGACATTGAATTTAATTGAGCGAGGCTTACATAAAAATGCAAATGGTGCCACTAACTGCAGTGAGCCGTGTGTCTCTTCAGCGCCATCAAAGCCAAGATTATCTGCACAAATCTGCTCCAGGACACTTGAGCTTTGAGTGTAAGGAACAACTGTTTCCCTATACGGTCCCGCCAATGACAACAACGCCCCTAAACACAGCTCTTTCTTTTTTTCCAAGCACCTCCATTGGCTGTGAGGACCTGTCAAAATATTAGGCTGATAGGCTGTTGCCAAGCAGTTTGACCCCGCCTCTGCTTTGTGTCATGAATGTAGAGAAGTCCACAAGCTCTCCAAGTTCAACTTCAGATAGAAGATTTATTGTAAGGGGAGATCAAAGGGGGGCATAGACTCTTTGTACTTGAATAAAGGGTGTGTGAAATGTGGGGGTAGGGGCATTTAACCCAACAACTTTGTGGTAGAAGAAAATGAGATAGTTTTACACAAAGCAAGGCAACAAACACTGAACTCTGGGCTATTTGTTTAGTAAAGTCTAGCCCCAAGATGCTGCAGCTCTGCTTGTCACCAGCACCAAAGGAATAGAACATGTAGCTGGAGGGCGTTTGTGCTGACTAGGAATAAAAAGATATTGAAGATTTAAAAACACAGAGAGATGAGCTGAAAAAGCTGTCAAGCAGTTGAGGACTCTGCGTCAATGTTTCATAACACAAATGGAATATCTTCAGCAGAGCGCAAATTAGCTTTGCTTTCACCAAAACCCCTCAGAGACACACAAGTATAGACAACGCACACACAATACCGGCTGCCGACAAAAACATGCTCCATTGAAAGAAACAGCCGTGATGTTTACACAACCTCAGTCTCTAAGGAGCGGGATGCAAGCTTGTCGAACCAATCGCGTCAAGCCGCATCCCTCGCCCAGCCAATCGGAGCACTGTTCTCCCCTGCAATAGCCCAACGAGATTCGAGCATGGCAGTATTCAAGCCAATGATGAGCGCAGAGTGTCTGTAACCATGCAACACTACTGCTCTGCTGCCGCTCACAACAAAAATACGAGAGCATGGGGAACACGTGGAGGAAGTTATGGCTGCAGCAAAGAGGAGGGGGGCAGGGGGAAAAGCCGCACCCTACTCTGGAGCTGCAACATGTGCAATTTTCTCCAGAGGGAGGGCTGATGGGTTCAAGTCTGGGGAAGAGATGTGGATGCAGCTCAATGTGGGAAAGTTTGGAAAATGTGAAAACTAAGTGAGTGGCACACAGGACTCAAAATGATTGGAGGTAAAGTCAAAATCAGAACTAACTAGGCAACAAGTAATCAGAAATTAAGATTAGGACTGAACCAATATTAAAGGCTCGACAAGATTCAGTGGATATAAAATTAAAGCTGGGGTTCCCAACTAACATGTCAGACCACAACACTCAGTCTTTCTGTGATTAGAAACTATTGTGTTTTTTTGCATAGTTGTAAGAAAAAGCCTAGTCACTATTGGAGAGCTGATTGGCAGAGAAAGTTCCCTTTTTTCACGGAAAAACTGATCTAATATGTGACAGAGCCCAAAAGACATGCAAGTGAAAACGATAATAAAACTGTTAAGAAGACATGGGTCTTATTACATGAGTTCTCTGTTTGGATTTGGTCTAATGTAAGTTTTTACTCTAGAAATGTTTCAAAGGGAGTGATGAAAAATGGTCATGTTCAAGCCTCAAACAC